TTGAAAACAATTATTTGAATATAAAGTTCAAAAGAACAGCATTTATGTAAGATACAAATCTTTTGTAACTTATAAATGTTCTTACCATCACTTTTGACCAGTTTAAGTATCTTTGCATGCTGAATAAAAATATCAACTTTGGAACAATACTGTATTTTATATGTAGAATATATACTATAGTGTGTGTGTGTGTGTGTGTGTGTGTGTGTGTGTGTGTGTGTGTGTGTGTGTGTGTGTGTGTGTGTGTGTGTGTGTGTGTGTGTGTGTGTGTGTGTGTGTGTGTGTGTGTGTGTGTGTGTGTGTGTGTGTGTGTGTGTGTGTGTGTGTGTGTGAGAGTGCATTGTATAAATATTTATCTATCTATCTATGACTCTCAAATGATTCGTGAATAATGGTACATCTCTAAAGTTGCGAATACAAAAGGTTTTATTTTTTAGAAGCTCGTTTTACATTGATACTGCACATATCAGTGTTTATCTAACCATAAACGTGTGCTAGGACTACACTTTACGCATGAATACCCATGAATAATAAATAGACCAACCAGAGAACTCAGTGTGCCTTGTAACTTTATATGAATTTACTTGCGTAATCCTCAGGAGTATATTGATTTTTGTAAATATGCTGACATAATAAAATGTGCGACTGGTAAACAGCGCCAGTGTCATTTGTACAAAACGCTGTTGTAAGGAGGAATGTTTGGTGATCCATGATCCAATAATTACTTCATTCATTTCTCATTTGAAATGCCTCATGTGTTTTGACTTCACCTGTAGCAGTGAACTGTTGAGGAGGGATTTGTACAGGGGAGCGACTGCATGTGACATTTTAGTCAGGTTGTCAAATTATTTCTGCATTTACATACCTTCACACTGGGAAAATAACAGCCTGCAGGAGTCCCATTTATGACTTTCTGTCATGCTTTTATCCACAATCAGCCTGTGGGCAAATATGTTTACATGTCAACAGTAAAAAAAAATACAAATACATAACTTTATTTATTTCTTTTCTTTTCTTTTAATTGTACAGTAAGCCCTTTGCTGATGCTAATTACATATTTTCTCAGGTCTAAAGGGTTGGTCAGATAAATACTGAAGGAGTTTGTATAAATGCAGGTGTTATGATGAATGAGTAAATGTGTTTTGTTTGTTCATAAGAAAGGTTGTTTGGGATGCCTAAGGTTCAGTTGGGAAACAGCATTGATTTACAACTGGAAAGTGCCTCTATTAATTGCCCTACAATGCATAAACAAACACACAGAAATCACAAAGTATACACAATGAAAAACGCCTGTTTGTGTTGTTTTTATTATCAAATTACAGAGCTGTGCTGTTGTATATTGACTGCATGGGCAGAGTTGATGCTAGTGACTTTATAGAGTAATGAAATTGGCAGTAGATATCCAAACGACAGAGCTGTGTGTGCCAATTCAAGATGTATGTGACTCTTAAAGTACAATATCTTATTCTGGTGTACCAAGGGATACATCATCACATGCCACTGTAGAAATGTTTTATATCTAGCAAAAGAAAACCTATTTTAAATCCTTATTGAGTGATGCGTTTCCTCACGGGTTGCATCAAACATACATCTGTTTAACAAAGCTGAAAGCTGATTCTAAAAGCATTATACGGACCTCCATAGCACACTTTGCTTTGTTTTGTTTTGCTTTGCTTTGCTTTGTTCATCCAGGACGTATTTTGTTTGTTTTCACAGCCAGGTTCGATTACACTTTATTATTGTGTCTGAAATGTGTTATGTTTGTATCATTGATATATGTTCGTGAGTACTATAGCGGCAACCATCTTCATTGTTTTATTCATGTTTTTGTTGCATTGGATTTACAGTACCACCAAAACTTTACACGCACAAAGTGCCAAGGTATGTAAGGTATTGGGTGCCAAGTGCAACTTCAAATTTCATGAGAATATGTAGATACATGTATATTAATTAATTTAATACACAGAAAAACAAAGGCCACAATTTCAACACAGTGCAAGTGTTGTGCTCAAAATTTTATACCCAAAATAATTTTGTAGAATAAATTCACACTGTTCCTTCCTTTCTGTCCTTTCTTGTTTCTGTTGGGTGAATATATTTTTCATTTTGGTGTTTTGTTTTAGAAGCAGCTTTGTGCAAGGGCGGAAAATCACTCGTAAAACCACATGTAAACGTCTCAGGTTACGCATGTAACCATGGTTCCCTGAGTAAGTGCCGAACAGAGCTCTAGGGAGCAAGCACTCAACATACCAACCCTCTAAAGCAAGGGGAGTGCAACCACCCACCCTTATGGATCAGCGTACTCAGTACGAAGACCTCAAGTGAGGGGAGTACTCAAAAGCTCGACCTAAGAGCGACTTATCAAGGAGGCCCACAAGAGCCTAACAACCTAAAACAGCCACAGAGCTCTGTGGAAAAACACTAGGAACTGTGATCTCAGCATAGCGTCCCTCAAAGGGAAGGGGAGCTACCAGGCTCATGAACAGCTGATCAGGGAGGCTCACAGAGAGCCTCAAAAACCCGGAAATAACTGCAAATAAAAATCCTGGGGAGCAGAGTGCTCAGTATAACTCTCTTGGCGAGAGGAGCAGAAACCATGCTCAACCTAAATATTAACGTACCTGGGCTGAGAGGATGAGGAGGCCCAAAGGAGGCTCAAACAAGAGCCTAACAACTCAAAAACTTGCCATTACACCAAGTCAGGAGCCTCCTTCACCAATAATGTAGATATCTCACATTATACACAGTTCCTATTCTGTAAAATAAAATAAAACCAAAAACAAACCTTCCGTACATAAGGCTTGAAGACAAAGAAGTGGATGACGTTTTCCACAGGTGCTCTTTTATACCCGCACTCGCTTTATTGTTTACGTCATAGGCTGCCGCCTGCCAATGTCAAGTTCATTGTCGTTTTTTCATTCATGCTTCAGACACCAGTCACGCTGAAGGCGTTCCCCTAGCGCCCTCTAGAGGACGCAGCGTGGAGTTCCCTTTCGAAAGGGAACAGCTATTTATTTCTTGACATGTTGTGCCTATTCCTTATTTAGCATCGTAAATGTTTATGCAAAGTTTCAGCACATACAGTAGATGTGTTTTGATGCAGAAGAAGATCTCACAAGATCTCAAAATCGCTCAAAGCGGGTCTGATCCACATTTAAACTGCTTGAAACACTGGTTAAACTATTTATTTCTTCTTGAAATTTTGTGACTCTTACACATTTAAGGTGATAAATATGCACTGTTTTTACACAGATGTGATTTGGAAAGTGTATACAAAAATTGCCCCCCTCGATGGTTTCAATTTGTCAAAATTTAACACTGAAGAACAGAGTAAAAAAAAAAGTAAAAAAAGTAAAGTAAAAAAAGAGAAAGAACCTTTATTGTTGTACTTTATGGATGCTCATATTATTTTAATATTATTATTTTTATATAATTTGAGGTCAGTTTGACCCTTAATACAAACATTGTGTCAAAAGCTATTTTATTAACACAGCAGGAGAGAATTTTTCTTGCTAGCAAAATAATCCTATTTTCAATTGAAGTGTCTGACTGAGTATTGAACACACACTTTTGCATTCATATTCCAGGATCACGCCCCCCAGTTGCCGAATCCGTCGCCAGGCCTTCTTCCGGGACCTCATAATTTAGCAATTAAACCCCGAGCATATCGTCACAGCCAAAACAGCCTGGCCTGTAGCTAATAGACGGACATCGGCTGCCAATTGATGGATCTCATCACGGGCGGTGATAATCTGTCCCATCAGTCCATGGCAGATGTGGCCTTTTGGCCAGGCGTAGACAGTGGCCACATTCTCGAGTGCATAAGAGAAGATGGATGTCAGGGTTTGAAGTCTGTGCTAGAATTGATAGGAGAGCATGCAGCTTTAATCGAGCTTTGTCAGATCCTTTATTTTCCTCACCAACTTCATTTGTTCTTGGTTCTTCTGAGAATTTTTTATAGCCTATAATTGGGCTCTTTGGATTTCTCAGTGGATAAGACAAAGTGGGTGATTAATTTTTTAATTGAAATCAATTATGAAACCAGACATCTGGCAGAGGATATTTAGCATCGACTGATGAACAGAGATGTGACATTGAATTCTTTCTCTCCTTTTAAGCTTTTGGATCTTCCTCATTAGACTTGAACCTGCACTCTGGGTTAATTCACTCAAATGCTCCGTTTGTTACTTTCAGTGTGGCAGCTACTTCTTATCCAAAGCAACTTGCACTTCATTAATTGCAAGCGCAGTGCCCTCAGGGCAACATTACTCCAGTGCATAGTAGAGTTAGATCCAGTTCCAGGGACACTTTAACTTGGGATTGGAGCTTTTATTTCATTGATACAGATCCTTAATAATTACAGAGCTTCAGGGTTGGGCAAAAGTGGGAATTTATGTACTGGCTTTCTTCAGTTCATGAGTTGAATTGGCCTAGAGAGTGTTGAATTGGAATGACTGAAAGAGGAATTTACTGATTTGCAATTTGCAAGGAAATTCAACAGTTATGTGACAAATTTTTCAACGAAACATAAATGATTTCATCTTTAGTTTGACTAATTATAGCGATTTTATGAAAATGTAAAAATAAATAAAATTAATTTATTTATTATATACTGTATATCTACGCATACACAGCAATTATATGAATGCTTACTTTTAAATTCAAATTGCAATTCGACATCCCTTTTACTACCTCAGTTCAAAAGGATTGAATTGGATTATAAAAGGCATTATTTAAAAAGCATAATTTAATTCTGAATGCCACAAAACTAGTGAGCTTGTTCTGACAAAGAAACATAAAATAGTTGTGTCGAATTAATGTTTTGCATGACAAAAACAATATTTTCTGATATCATCTAACGCATATTTTTTCTTTAATAGGTTTGGTATCATCCTCCACAAGAATGAACCAGCTCTTCATAAGATCGATTTGGAAACCACCTCCTATGTGAAAAACATTAGTCTGCAGCAGTACAATTGCATCCCACAATCCCTCTCCTACACGCACCTGGGCGGATACTACTTCGTCAACTGTCAGCCAGACTCAACAGGTGCGGTACGGCCACAATTAATCATCGATACTGTAACAGACAATGTCATCGGTCCAAATAGGGATGTGAGCGGCACACCTTATGTCTCTCCTGATGGCCACTATTTAGTGAGCGTGGATGACCGTGACGGGCTAATGCGCTTGCAGCATGTGTCCATGCGGGGTGAGATCGGCCAACCCTTTGACATTCACACCAACCTGCACCTGTCCAATCTGGCCTTCATGCCCTCTTTCACTGAGGCTAACCAATATAACCTGTTCGGCAGCTCGGTCCGCCAGACAGATGCTCTTTTTGTGGAGCTCAGCACTGGTAACGTCAAAATGATCAAGAGCCTAAAGCAGCCTACGCCGGCTGCTCAGTGGCCTTGGAATCACCAGAACAGGGTCATGACTGGCAGCGGGCTGTTCGGACAGTATCTCATGACCCCGTCTCAAAGCTCCCTGTTTATTCTGGATGGGCGGCTGGATAAACTCAACTGTGAGATCACCGACGTTCCCTTGGGAAATACTGTGGTGTGGGTGGGAGAGCCGTAAGCCGTTTTATAGGGGCTTGAGAGGGAAACAAACAAACAGGTTGCACTGAATTTGGTCTCCGTTTAATTTATTGAGAATAAAATAAGTCTCAACGTTTGGAACAAAAAACAAAATTGTTCAAAACTGTTCAAAAAATTGTTCAACTGTTCAAAAACTTGCATTGGAAAAGAGAACTTGAGAAATGCTTGATTTTGATAAGCTAGCCAGGTTTTTGAGTCAAATAACTAATAAGTAGTTTCTCCAAAAATATTTAGGTGGCATCAAACTAGAATTGGTATCTTTTATTAAGAAAGTCAGTAAGAATCACTTTGTTTGAAGGTGAGAATTGTTTAACTGATTGATTGAATCGATTCAACTGATCCAGACACATGTTTTAGGAATAATATTTTCTCATCTCCCTTTAACACTTAAAACACACATACAAAACACATTCGGCCCATTTTTTTCCAGTGCCTTGAAGGAATACTAACTAAAAAAAATAAAGTAAACATAATTATTCCCCCCGAGCCTGTGGATTAAACCCTCCCCGGCTTTTCCACACGCAAAGTAAAAACGAGAGCTACACTTAAAATTCACCTGTTTATAACTCCCACAGACCCCGAGGCATTTCTAGCTTATTAAAACAGTATCGTCCTGAGAAACTGTCACGTATATTGAGATATTGAGATATAGGTAATGATGTGTTTGACAACTGTAAATCGTCATGAAATGTTCGGGTGTAAGAATGATTACACAGAGAATTGTGTGTCTTTGTGTTGAACCCCCAATTAAATCCTACATGAAAACCAGCACTGGTTAGATCAGTGAACATCTGAGAACGAGTCTGTTATACGATAGAATGTATAATCTTAGTAAGAGAGGTTACAGAGTTTCAAGGGCACATAAAGAATCAAGTTTTAGTTGACTCAGCAGTCACAGTCACTGCCATAAGAGTCTGCTTTCAGTAACTGGTGCGTTGCGTGGTGTGATGTTAGACATAATTTATGCATTGCGAGGGTTATATAGCTGGGGAACATTTATTTAAGAGTTTCAGAGTCACAATGCTACAAGAGCACGAACAAAGGAATCTTTCTGTGTCTGTAGGAAGCACAAGTGTGTGCTCACGATGTTGAATTATTTCCTCGATGGACAGAGTCTATGCATTTTCACTGACACGCCAGCCAATGGGCTGCATGAATTGAGCTTTTCCCCCCAAATTACTTACATTTGTTTTCTTGTTTTAGTTTTAGATTTTGTATATTTTGTTAAAATGCATACAATACGGCTTTTTATCGACTGTATTTTCCTTACTCCCTGACTGTTTTGTTTTTTAGTGACTTTTACTTGGGTTCTCTAAATAGCAGGTTGTTCTACGCTCGCGTACAACACAATAGCTAACCGTAAGTCATCTTCAAACGGTTCAGGTTGATTCGTTTCCCCTTGTTTATTTTTAAGACAAAAGAGCTGCACTGTCTTTGTTCCACAAATGACCAAGTACATTGTGATCCAGAGACATTGTCACATCCAGAGATTTCATCAGCTCCATGTAGCCATGTACGTTGATTCTCGTGGTTGTTATTTATGTAGAAACATGCTTGACATTTTGGCAGTTAAATAAAGCCTATAACTTTGAAAAAAAAAGGTTTTGGGTATTATTTTGTCTCGGTAATATGAGTGGAATGGACCAGAAAATTTACTGAAATCCCAATCTGCATGAATTTATGCATTAGTGCATCGACAAATTTGATGGATTCAGTATGAATCTTTTTACCTGGAAAGCTTTAAGAGATTCGTTCAAAGTATAAATATTATTTATCTTGCAGAATGTCATCATTTACAATCATTCATGCTCCACTAGACAGCCAAACTTCATTATTAAAACTGACTTTATAAAGCTGAAGCATGCTATTGAACACAAATAATAAGAACCTTGTAAAAAGATGAAAGCAGCTGGTTTGTAGGCACAATGTGATAAAAAAGACTCACATACTTGATTCTGGAAACAAGTGATATTGGGAAGATGAATGTCAGAAAATATATAGTTTTCATTTTATTTTACATCTGTCCTTCTTTCCACTCCCTCTTTACTCCACTGTATTCTTTTCCCCTCTTTCTTTCCTTCTAGCTGTATTCCTTCCCTCCTCTGCGACTCTGATCCATTATGTTAATAGTTTTCTTTTTTTCAATCTCATAATGCCAAATGAATGCACAAGTTGCTGCATGAACGAGACCAAGGTGGCACTGCAATTATCTATTGTTGGCCGTTTATCTTCCCTCCATTCTCTCCTTCTCTCATTATAGGCTGCACACCAACCATTTTTTGGAGAGATTTTGGGATCATTTAGTGGACACAGTTTAATATGTTCATGCCCTTCCTTTTCTAAGTCTGTTCACCATCACTCATGTTCACAATTGTCCAATGGCCCAAAAATATGCAGTGCTTGAAAAAAATGAACATACAAAACATGCTTGTTTTAAAGGGGAGTAAGTTTAAGACCTTGAAGGCCAAGGATGTTAACTTAACAAGTGTACTAATTCTACGAGTATATCAAAGTCCACACCACAGCTATAGAT